GCGCCTGAGACTTTTTGGCAAACACTATTAACTTGGGCATTCCAGCTGAGCGCCATGTCAAGGTACACACCGAGATTTTTCACATTACGGCTGATTGGAATACAAGAACCGTTGAAAATAATTTGCGGGAGATCACCCAAGTCCACTTTATTTATAGTACGGGGGGCTCCCAACTATGGTGCCTTGGCACTTTGATGGATTGACGGTTTAGCCAAACCTATCAGACCACTTTTTGATGGCAACTAAGTCCTTGTTTAAAAACTCGATTATTTCTGGGAGCCTATCAGTGGTCGCCTAAGCATACAGCTGCAGATCATCGGCATACATATGATACGCACATTGAAGGTCATGAATAATGAGATTAATAAAATCTGAAAATAAGATAGGAGAGAGAATACCGCCTTGAGGGACACCACTTGCAAGATTAAGCCAGCTTGATGACAATTCACCAATACTAACTGCCTGCCGGCGCCCTCGAAGATAAGATGAAGACCATTCCAGTGCTTCATCGGAAACCCTTAAATAGGACAGGATTGCTAATAGGATGCCGTAACTGACGGTATTAAAGCATTCGAAAAATCGATTAAAACCAAAACAGTAACTTGGGTATTTTCCATGCCCTAATATCACCAGTCACTTTAAGGAGGGCGGTGGTGGTACTGTGGCCAGGTCTAAAACCGGATTGTAGGGGGCTTATCAATTGGTTACTAAGGACAAAGTGAGAAAATTGCTTAAGAACGCAGGACTCGAGCACCTTAGAAAGGAAGGGTAATATAGAGATAGGACGATAATGAGCGAGAAGAGAAGGATTAGGGCATTTCGGCAGTGGACGCACAAGTGCATTACACCATAAGGAAGGGAAAGATCCAGTATCCAATGCAAAATTTATGAATGTGGGTGATCGTGGGAACAAGGTGATCAAGGATAGGGACTATCATGCGTCGGCCTATTTTATGGCATCCAAGTGCATTTGATTTGATGGAAAGGATAGTTTTTTTTGATTTCGTCAGAAGATTTAAATGAACCAATATCAGGGCGCGTCAAACCATTTATAAAGGTAATCGTGCTACAGATCGTTAGATGATCGATCGATGAAGTGGTGGAGAAATGTTGATTTAAATCATCTAATTTGATTGAGGTTGGAAGGTTTGGAAAACGCGACTTACCGATACCAAGAGTCCCAAGAAACTTCCAGATATCGGCAGGAGTAGATGAAGAAATGTTATCGAAGATGTGACGGCGTTTAGCGTTGGTACGCAACGCTACATCTGATTACACCGATTTCTAGCCGACTTGTACAGGGACCAATTTTCTTCAGAACGATTTTAATGGCACGGTAATCCCTTATAACGACAGTGTTAAAAATTTGGGTATACTGATGGACTCCAGTTTTTCTTGGACTCCTCAAATTAATGCAGTCGCCCGTAAAATGTTTGCAGCATGTGGTTTGCTCAGAAGGTTGAACAACTTGATTGAATATTGATTGAATATACTTTATTGCACACAAGGAAATACAAGGAAGAAAATACCGGAAAGATAGTGTACATACAGGCGGTCTTATTGTTAACGTAGCAATTTCTTCCAGGCAACCTTAGGGTATAGGATTAGATAATAAAGTTGCGGGATAATGGTGCAAAAATAATTACATTAATATATATGTAGAAAAATAAAATCATCAAATATAATACATATCTATATAATAACAAATACCTAATACAAATACTTATACTATAATATATATATATATATATATATATATATATATATACATATATATATATACATACATATATATGCATATTAACAAATACTTATTAATAAGTGTGAAAGTAGCAAAAAAAAAGCTGACAACCAAAGCTCAGAGGAAAAGTAACGTTGGGATGAAATTAAACAGGAAGGGAAAGGAGATGGGCTTTCAGGTGCTTCTTAAAAGTGTAAAGGGCCAGTCCCTTTACACTTTTAAGAAGCACCTGAAAGCTTTTTTTATAGACACAGGGAGTGAGTTCAAGAGCTTCACAGCTTGAACAGTAAAAGAAAAGGCCTAGAAATCAGTGGTATGAGGAGGCATAGAAAGCGAGCGATAACGAGAAGAACGGAGTGAACGATCAATAGAAATGGACTAGTATTCAAAACTTTCTTTCAAACTTATTTTTACTTATTTCCGCCAAAATTACGCTCGCTCATTCTTTGCTGCTCCCTATCCTTGATTATGTTGACATATGCTATCTTGACATCACTGAGGAGCAACTTAATAAACTTGAGCCACTCCAAAACCTATGTATATGTTTCATATTTGGGCTCCGTAAATATGATCATGTATCTGAGTTTCGTATTAAGCTCAAGTGGCTCCCGATTCGTTTTCGCCCATTCTTTATGCTCTTTACTGCGTCCTATTTAACGTATCGAGTCCGCAATATTTGAAGGAACGTTTTCAATTTCTTTTCTCCTCTCATATCAACATCCATCCATACAAACATCCTATGCAAACCTCTCGTTTTTACCATAAACCCTTCTCTGCTGTTGCTGTTAAACTCTGTAACTCTTTATCTTTGTCTATAAAACGTGCTCAAACCCTACATTCTTTTAAAAAACAGGTTATGGAGCATTATCTGTCTGTCTAGCTACCGTCTAACTCTGTGATCACTCACATGAGGAATGTTTTTCTTATTAATTTAATTTTGATTGCTACTTTCTTTTAATTATTTATTTCTGTTCGTGCGTTCTAAAGTTCTGTCCTATTTGTATTAGAGTATAATTTTAAATCATCCATATAAAGTAAATGTGTTAGTTGAAATAAATTTCGTCTTTTGAATTTTATGTCAAATCCTAATTTGGAATCTATTATTTTATGTGACAGTGGGTTTAGTGGTCAGACAAAACCATAATGGGCTGAGAGATTCTCCCTGGAAAATACCCCTTTTAATGGGAATTCCATAGGTGACTATTTCGTTGTCAGGTGTTCGTAATGTAAGGGCTGTTCTCCATTTAACCATGCTGTTTTTAAGAAACTGAACTATTAATGGATGGATTTTGTAAATTTCTAGTATATGTATTAGTAAAGAGTGCGTTACGCTATCAAAAGCCTTTTTGTAGTCAATATAGGTGACAAAGAAAACTTTTCTATTGGTTTGTACATATTTAAGGAGTAATGAATCAATTATTAGTTGTTCTTTACACCCCATATGGAACTTTCTGCAGCCTTTTTGTTCCTCAGCTAAAATATTATTTATGTTTATAAGTCTAGCAATTATACAAGCTATGCACTAAGTTATTAATTTATACATAGTTGGGAGACATGTGATGGGTCGATATTGCGAGGGGTAATTGGTCCTAGTAGTTTTTGGTATCATATAGGTTTAAAATTCAGGGATCATCACAGCATAGCATCACCTTTCACTATATCCGTTACTTGCTTTGCTAGTATGTTATGTAAGTTTGAGAACTTTTTTATCCAATAATTTTTTGTGTGTTTTTGTATTGTGTATTCCATCTATCGCTGCTGCTTTCCTGTTATGTGTTTTTTTAATGATATCCTGTAATCTTATGTCTGCTTTTCTATATCTAGCAAGTCTATGACTTTTGACTTTTAAATTTTGTTTTAACGTGTCGATAAAATCTGCGATTTTTTTATTCATATCTCCATGTGCACCGTGAATTTTACTGTTCTTTAACACTTGTTCTATATGTTTCATTAGTCTTTTTCCTCTGTTTCCATTTTTGAACTGCGTTAATCTGCCTATTTCTCGTCTATAATTCTTAATATCATTTTCTACTCGGATTTGCCATGCAGGTTTTTGATTTGTTGCTCTATTTGCACCATGAGTAACTTTAATTTTCAAGAAATCTGTTATTGCTTTAGCTGCGCTATATATAAAAGTATGTGTATCGGTTAACGTTTCAAGATAAGTTAGTTTTTCCAGAATAATGTTATTAAATACAACCGTTATATAAGATAGTTTTCTGGATGACTGAATTTTTGGTAATATTGGTCTTAAGCTAGGATCGATTCCATTATAATTTATGAGGTTTGTCTCAAGTCTTCTAGAGAGGTCTTCAAGTATATTGGCGTCTACCTTATTATGTGCATATGAATTTTCTTGGGCATTTGTTAGAGTTTGGTAAATATCGGAAAATATTACAGAATTATTTGGAATGTTTCTTGGGATTGCAGGGTTTTCTGTTCTGTGAATCCTGGAGTTCTTTCGTGACTTCTTCTTTAATTTTATTTAGAATATCATCTGACAGCAGTTTGTTCCTAATTATAACCCGCCTCTGATCTGATAATCGCTGCTCTGACACGTTACTACCTGGATATTGTTTAATAAACTCTTGGTGTAATAACTGCCTGTATGTAGTTAGGTCTGATTCTAAATTGGTTATTATTATTATGGGGGATATTCATTTGTTTTCTCGTCTGGTTGGGTTTATAAATAAAAAATAAACATATAGATATATATTGCATATATATAACATAAATATTATAATTAAAAAGAAACATAGATATAAATTATTATTCCAATATAAATTTTAACAAAAAAAACTGACTTCAATAAGAAAATTAAAAACGTTGTTAATAAATAAAATATTCAATGATTGCCTTGATCCATGAAAAGAATGTTCAAAATTGTCTCATAAATGACGAAGTTATCCCCAACTCACATAAAAAAAATATATATATACGGTCGAATTGAGAAACCTCCTCCTTTTTTGAAGTCGGTTAAAAAATTCAAATTCTCAAAGGCTGGACTATCAGTAAATTTCACTCACAAAAATAATTTGAAGTTGACCAATGGATATATTTTATTTTTGGCTGAAAGCGACTAACATTAACTAAAATTAAAAAAAAAATACAAAATGACGTGTTTTGTGTCATTGTCAGTTTTTAAGTTTTAAGTTTATTTTATCTTTCAATTTGAATTCGCAAGTAATAATAGATGTAACAAAGTATTTTATAAGTGAATTTATTGTATATTTTAACTTTATTTAATATTTATATAATAATGTCATCACAACTTATAAATAAATTTAAACAGTTTGATGCCTATGCAAAAACTTTAGAAGATTTTAAAGTTAAAACAGCTACAGGAGCAACAAGTAACTTTAAATCGATGATAATTATTTTCTCTTTATTCTAGAATCATAAACCAAATTATATTTTTTTTTATTTATTCCAGTTACTGTTGTTGGCGTCTGCTTAATGATTTTATTATTTTTGTCAGAGTTATATACTTATATGTCACCAAATATATCGGAAGAGTTATTTGTAGACACATCAAGAGGACATAAGTTACGAATAAATTTTGATATTATTGTACCAAGTATATCGTGTAGCTGTAGGTGTAAAAATTAATTACATTTGCCAATATACCATTTGTATTACTTTAGGTACTATTGTGTACAATTATTTTTTAATTTTTCAGATTTAGTATTAGATGCTATGGACTCTTCTGGTGAACAGCATCTTCAGATGGATCATAATATTCATAAAAGAAGATTAGACTTGCAAGGAAATCCTATAGAAGAGCCAAAAAAGGAAGAAATGCTATTTTCTTCAACAGTAAATATAGGTGTTAAATAATTAGTCTTTTTTTAATATTGATAAAATCAATATTTGTGATTTTTGTTTAGGTCAAACAAAATGCTTCAGACTTAGCTAAATATACATGTGGCAGTTGTTATGGTGCAGCATTTAATGACTCTCAGTAAGTTTTGTTGCTTTATTCCCTAGTCCAAGTTTCTGTTATACATTTAGTAGATAAATTCCTAAATGGTAATCCAGATACCAGGGTAACTAAAATATGTGTAAATAACTATTAAATTTTAAGTGATAACAAATGCAAACTACATTATAGTGATAATATGTACAAAAAATTTGGTTTATATAAAGCCCAGGTATAAAAAGATTTCAAATTTATTACTTCTTCCCTTCTAGCCTATTAATATTTGAAATGAATGGCGATCTGGGCACCTAATGAACCTTAAAAATCTATTATCACAAAAATCAATTCCTAAGAAATACAAGTCTTGCATATTTTCAGCAAAAGCTGTGAATGTTATCAATTAAATTGCATTTCCTCACAATGTTTGACTTCACTGCTGAACATCTGATAAGCCAGTTCTTAAAATTAACAACTTAATTGGTGTCTGCACCAGGAATCAAAGTCAAAATTTTGTTAGGGTTAATTTTAAACTCTTATTGAAAAAACTACCTGTTAAACTAAAAGCGAGTGCTGGACCAATGAGCTATCAAGGTACAAAGTCAGCACAAATACAATGGCTTTTGCATATTTTTTAAGAAAAGAAAACTCATGTGCACACCATGGCCATTAAAACCTGAGACTAAGACTTTCAGCCATCACAGTAAATTCTTATAAAATTTCTGTAAGAATTCTGTTGCAAGATTAACAAGTAACATATTATTTATGTTTATTTGATTCTGATAGAAAAGGACCCTTTGTGTGTAGAGAAACGAGAATGGACATTGTAATTATTTTTCCTTTGATTTATTTGACTACTTTATGACCAAACACCTAACGGATATTCTTTAGTTGCATTGAATATAACACCAACTTTTAGATGTTGTAACACTTGTGAAGAAGTAAAAGAAGCATATAGACTAAGAAGGTGGGCTTTACCTGATTTAGCCACTATTGAACAATGTAAAGATGATGAATCACTTGAAACGGCAAATTTAGCACTAAAAGAGGGTTGTCAAATATATGGCTATATGAAAGTAAATCGTGTAAGTATTTAATCATCAAGTGAGTATGTAACTAATGTATGCAGATTTCCTAAGAAATGCTGCAATTACTTATATTTAATTTATAATTGAAACCTCAAACTATTTACACATTAATGTTTCTACAAAGAGGACTTGGACCATAAGCCGACACATAGTCTCAAACAGATTGGGAGACTACATATTTCTTTTATATTGCTTTGTTAAGCAGGCCCCTAAAAATGTTTTCCTTCATTATTAAGTTTGGTCTAAATCTTTTTTTTTTTTTAATGCGAAAAGTTCTCAAACAAGTATGGTATGAGGGCGGCTGCCCATGGACATCTGCCACACCCGAGGGCTACAGATGCGTTGACAACCGTTTGAAAATTGGGCTGTGGATACCTCACTCACCAGACGAAACGCGAAAGTATTTGTCATACTTCCGCTTTACGCTGGTCTTCTGTGAGGTGGTACTTACCCGGACGGGCCTGCCCATTCGTGCACCAGCCGAGGCTGCTGTGTGGCCCTACCACCGTTTAAGTCTTCATCTTACTGAAAATCAGTTTGATTATTTGCAGCCCTGTGATTTGGACAAAGGTTTCTTGAATTGATATCAATCTTCTGGTACTTTTATATGTTTAGAGTTTGAATGTAAGTGCTTCTCACAAAATTGAGTATTCAAAAAACAAATGTTATATGTTGTTAGTATATCTGTTCCATATACTGTGTTTATATTTACAGTTTGTTAGCAATAAAGAGAACATGTTAGCAATGAGGACATCAATACAAAGATACCAAGTATAAAATTATAATGCATTTACAGGTTGGTGGAAGCTTCCATATAGCTCCAGGAAAAAGTTTTACTATCAACCATGTACATGTTCATGATGTGCAACCATATTCTTCATCTGCATTTAATACAACACATATTATTCAACATCTATCTTTTGGAAGTGATATAAAAAGTGCAAACACAGCACCTTTGGATGGTGTCACGGGTTTGGCCAAAGAAGGTAAGTCAAAATGCCTAGAATTCTGTTATTTAAAAAATTCCAAGACCTAATTAAGCTAAAGCTTTAAATCTGTATGGTATACAAAGCTTGAGAATTTATTTTGTATCTTATGAAAATAAATAATACACTGAAAATAATAGTACAATAAGAAATAAATGTATTCAATAAGATTTTGCAAAATTCTCATGTCAAATTGACTAAATGCTTTATATAGCCTACAGTTTTTATGAAAATCTCAATTCGAGTAAATCAAGTAAAATAAAATATTAAATCAAATAAGTCTTCTCTTTACCATTATATTCTTGAGTGACTTCCATAGCTAAATCATACATCTATCATTGAATATATTCAATTATAGATTTCTCATATATATATAACATACACCAAGTAATGTATGCAATATTATTTTTCATGTTTACTAATTTTATATAACAAATTATATTAAAAATAAGCCTGTTTATACTACTAAACATTTTATTACGATATATACAAATTCTTTTATTCTTAGAAAACCATATCAGCAACGTATTCCAGTTCCAATAGCCATAAATGTTCCAAAAGTTCCCCCGCCTTGAAGCATTACTTTTCCTACAGAATGTACTAATTCTCGTCCCCTTGCTCCATACCTGTAATTATACTTTGGGTAAATGTAAATAACTTTAACTCCGGCGTAATTCAAATCAAATAAATTTTAAATGATAGAAAAAAATCACTTATGAATTTATCAACAAGCAGAATTCGGCACATATTTTGTATTGTTACATTAAAACTGATAATAAACATAAATATAATAATCTCTTGCACGAAATTTACCTAAATAAAAAAAATATTCTAACCTTAAAGCTGTGAAACCACCGAACAAACCACCGCTAGCCATGCCAACGCAAAATCCAATCATGAAACCCATCTTCATTTTATCAAAACAAGAAGGACCTTGATTATGGTACACACTTCCTGGCACCGGCATTTTCTTAATTAATACTTCTTTTTTTCTAGAAGAGGAAAAACGTTCGCTTTTTTGACACTCTGATGTCACAATAACTTTTTTATTATTGTAATGTCATTGTCAATTACAAATCAACCACAGATGTTGGTAATAAAATATAAATAAAGTAATAATATTTTTGTGGCTAACAAATTAAATTTTTCTAATTATTTTCTAGCGAAAAAAGACCAGTTGAAATGTTTTGTTTTATTGCTTCACGGGTATTAGAATACACATCGCAACAATGACCATAATCTGTTAAAACTTCCTGTTTTCCACACAAGAATCTTTTTTTTATAAGTCTATCTTGCTTTTGACCCTGTGGTGGGTGAACAACTCGCGGACTCAGAGGAAATAACGTATGTAGCTCGTACAAGACAGCGACATGATCCATCTGTTCTATCGCGCTTGAGCGGCACGTTTTAACTGAATATGGCTAACAAGACAATTTAATATGCCCTCCAAAGAAGCGCGATTCAAGTGAGAGGAAAGGGCTTAGACCGCAATCGCCTGCACACTGATGCATAGAAATCCGTACATGTAATAAAATTAAACATATATATAAGAGCAGTGTGATTGTTTAGGAAACGGGATTATTTATATATATTTGTTCTATTATGCGAAGCGTATTATAATATTGTACATAAATTTGATGCATAAGCCCTTGCACCCACTCCCTCTCAATATTTGACTAGCCACTAGCGCAGGCTTCGGCTTTCGAATTGAAGTACATTTTATATATCAGTCACTTCATGTATATCTAAACAAACAAACAAATAGTCATAGTAAAGACGACTCTAGTTTTCACTTTTTTCATAGTCCGAGTCGACTTGGTCTCTGATGTCCATGTATACCCTAAAAGTGCCCCTGTGCCAACCGAGCAACCAACCTGGCAATAGCCTTAGACTGTCAATTCACACCCATCAGACAAAGGAATAGACGAGCCGCCATAGTTCAGTGTCCGAGCGCTCTCCTTTAATTAAATTTACTTGAGAAACTTGAGTCCAAAATCCGGTGCTAGGCACCAATGAAATTGTTAATTTAAAATGCTGACTTATCACGTGCTCAGCGGTGAAGGAAAACATCGTGAGAAAACCTGTATATTTGCGAAATAAAAACAAAAAAAATATTTCCAAGGGTTACGTGGTTCACAGAGGTTATCAGGGCAAAGCTTAACTTTTAGACAAAGGCATATTTTCAAACTGCCTTAAGATTAATGGTTAGAGTAATCGTGGTGGGTAGCGATCCAGGGATAAATCGTCCGCCAGTTAGTACGGGACCCATGTAGTGTCCCACAAGAGACTCCGCCCTCCAACTGTGTATTATACCTTCGTGACCCTATTGTGATGCTTGATAACCAGGAGAAAAGACCCGTTGGCACACCTCTCTTTACAACTACATCTCTAATATTTGAGATCAGTGTCGGACCTGGTTTGTAGTTCCGCCACTCACGACATCACGTTTCGGTTGCGGAGGGCAGGGTGATAGGCGTATCTAAAAATGAAAAATCGATCTAGCTAGGTTTCATTTTTAGAAAATGTCCTTTTATCCCTGTTTTCAGCGAAGGAAAAATATCATTCGAATATGACGGCATTCGATTATTTTTTATTTTTTGTCGATTTGTTATTTTTTTTTTTCCTTTTTTTTTAATTCTTTCTTTTGTGAAAAACACCAGTTCATATTTTCTTATTATTACGTCGGTAAGATAGAAAAATATTATGCATATTTCATTTCTCAGTAATTTGTATTTAAATGTAATTTCCAACATACATGATTTACCCAAAAAAAAACAAACCGTCCTCCAGGTACTGCTTACATTATGGTAATATAAATTGTAAATGCAATAGTTTAGAGTTTGTTAATAGCTATATGTATTTAGGAGTAACTGTAGATTGAAAGCTTAATTGGAGTTTGCACATTAATAATGTTTGTGATAATTTAAGAACGATTTTAATCAAATTAAAATATCTTGGTAGTTGATAAAAAAAACAATGTATTTGTTATATCACACGCTTGCTGATCGTGTACTCAGTTATGGATTGATTTCATATGGCCGCACTTTTCACACATATCTAAATAACATCAAAAATTTTCAGTACCTAATTTCTTATGAAAATTGATTACTTAATAGAGTAGCATGTACACTGGTCTTTAAAAAATTCACCATTAGTATTTTTTTGTCTTTTAAGTGTTGCCAGGGACCGATTTTGAATGTACCAACTTAATTACAGCGCTAACTAGTGAATTCTATTCAATTAAAAACCATGTAAAATTAACGCCCGACTACGTTTCCTTAAAATGGGCAATAACTTACTGTCACTGGGCAATAACCCTCTGATTTACCCCTAAGTCCATTTTTTTATTAGCGAAAAACAAAACCGACTTCAAATATCTTGCTCTGTATTCATTTTATATTTGATTTTCAGTAGTTCCCTAAGTATCTCAGGAGCCCTAGATCCACTAGCAATTAAATTAATATGGGAAGCACCAGCTTTCAATTAAAAAAAGAATCATCAAAATCGGTTCTCACTTAGTCGAAATCGTATTGAGAACCTTCTCCTTTTTTAAAATTCGGTTGACAATACTGCCGTAACCATGTTGTAGAGATGAACTTAAATCTTAATTTTAGTTTGCTCATCGAGTACATGACTAAAACAAAAGTGCGGCTGTATTTCACACTGTGATACTATGTATCCTTTTATAAAGCTCAAATCCGTTCGTGTTTGGAATATGCTGCCTTATTTGGGTTTATGCTGCAAAATACCATTTACTTAGCTACTCTAGACTTTGTGAAGAGGCATTCAAGGAAGCTTTTTGGTGATCCTGATCTTGAAAGAACCAATCTTCCCATTCTCGAACACGCCCAGAGTAGCCAGTCCCGGCGTTCAACAGGCTACATTCCAAAAAGCTTGCACCGAAGTTACATAATTATCTATAAATTATCATTATTTTAGCGCTAGTTGAATTACTGGAACCGTTGTGGCTTTGATGGTATTAAACCATGAGAGCCACATGCCAGTTCCAGGAAAAAAAGCTAGATCTTGCAGTTATCCGTGAAAATTCCGAATTTGCTCTCGCGAGACCATATAGTAAGTAAAATGTTTTCTAGTGCTTAATGAATCAAGGCCTTTGAGAATATATCTCAGAAATCTCTTAGTCACAAAGCCAAAGTTCAACAAGAGGATACCTACAGAGTTTCTTTTGCCTGTTTCTTCCCCGCTAGAGGAACCTTGAGGAAGTTGTAGGTTAATAGTAAAAATAAAGTAAAATTTTCAAAAGGAAAGACACCCATATTATCCCCATGGTTCAGGATATCTTACTGATCACCAATTTTATGTTTATAATAATTATTTTAGAATATTAAGAATAATAATTTAATATTAAAATAAGCTCATTATTTGCAATAACTTTCCTTGCCTAATTGAAAAATGTTATTTAACGTGGGCTGTCATTTTATTTTGAAATCATTTATTACTTTACAGGTGCTGTAATGTTTCAATACTACATAAAAATAGTTCCCACTATGTATGTAAAACTGGATAACAGTGTGTTGAACACTAACCAATTTTCTGTAACTAGACATCAAAAATCAGTCTCCAATATTCATTCTGAGTCTGGAATGCCAGGAGCATTTTTTAGCTATGAGTTATCACCTCTCATGGTAAAATACACTGAAAAAGAACGGTAAACACATATTATTCATTTTTAATTTTTAGTTATTTCTGATTTGCATGAAATAGTTGTATAATGAAAAGTTGTTACATAATTAAATTTTTATTGAACTTCTTTTATTTGTTTTATCCACAGATCTATTGGTCACTTTGCAACTAATATCTGCGCCATAATTGGAGGAATCTTTACTGTAGCTGGAATTATTGACACTCTTGTGTATCATTCACTCAATGCATTTCACAATAAAATTGTATTGGGAAAAGCGGGATGAGAACTAAATAGTTTTTAAGAATGTGTTAAAATCATCCACATGACATTTAGCAAAACTTTTACAAAATTCTATATCTGAGCCTTCCACTAAAGCACTCAACGGAATAAAGTTTGCAATAGTGGGATTATATTGAGCTCTGCCCAATTTCTCTAAAAATATATGCCTTTGTTTTATTTTGAAATTCCTACATAATAAAATATTTGGATATTGTAATATTCTTCCATGTGGTATTTTAATAACATTATGAATGTAGTTAAACCTCTCCAACAACAATCTCTGATCTGAAACATAAAATAAATTACCTTATTATTAATAAAAAAAAGTATTATTTCATTTTACAAGTTTAAGGGCACCTTACTTTTGTATTTAAACTTTATCTTTATTAGGAATAGTCTGAAGAGGGCAGTACCTAACCTTCTCAAAGATTTAAATTACTAAAAGTTGGTGAATGGTTAGGAATCACACTGTGCTGAGAACTGGGCACAAGCACCAATGATAATTGACTATCATGCTTCTGACCATTTTCTGTATTAATGTTATAAAGCAATCTCACGAGCAACAAGAGTTTCAGATTTTTTAAATTGTATTCAAAGATAATACCTTTTACACAAATGTAAATTTATTTGTAATTTTTAATGGCAACTTTTATGATATTGTATTTATCAATATACTTCTAAAATATTTCTATAAAGGAAGTAAAATCAAGAGTCCTAAAAGTTTTCATTTAGTCTAGTGAGCTATGTTTATATTATCTGTGACAATAGTTTTTACTGAGAAGTTAATTTACTTACCAATCATCCATAACCTGGGCTTATTTAATATGAGTTGTTTAATTTCGTTGTCCTCAAACCCCATTTCTTCTTTAATAACAAAGGAATTTGTTTTTACATGTTCTAAGTTGTAAGTTATTAATTTGGGCTGTTTTATCGCTAAACCTCTAACTTCACTTCCATATAAATTAAATTTTTCTTGGTAATATCCCAATCGTTTATCAATTCTTACCGTGCTGAAGAGATAGGATTTAGTAAATATTATGTGGAATATACAATTCACTTCCAGTTAAAAGTGTAAAACGTACCTAAACATTAGCCAAAATGGGTTTTTGGTTATTATTCTACTTATTTCGTTGTGCTTAAAACATTTTGAATTTAAATAATTCACTCGGGTTTGTAGATCTTCTAAGTCTTCACAAAGAATAAGTGAGTTTTTCGTTAAAAACAAACCAAGGTCATCTACGGCGACATAATCTTTCAGAAACATTAAATGGTCTTTTATATCTTCAAAATTTAACTTCAATATTTTATGAACTATGTAGGGCTTTTTCTCAATTTTGCTAAGATTAATACCAAGATCAACAAAATTTTGTAAAGTTTTAGATTTATTAACATAGGCTGCTAAATTAAAGGAGTTAGGAAAATATGGTGCGATTACTGATAAGTCCTGGTTTGTCTTTTGCAAAGCGTTATTTTCTTGATTGTTATCTGTAATAGATGCTACGCCCGGAAGATTACAATTGCTCCATGAAAAGTGAAAATATCTAGGGACACTTAAACTTTTAGTTGCGGCGAATGGTTTAAAAAAAGTAAACAAAATCATTTTAGGTCAAATATTAAACAACAGTATCTTTTCTTAATGGCTTGCTCTCGAGTTAATCCGCCAATGTAAAGTTATTCTTAAAATTCACAATCAAATAATAATCACATTAAAATTGTAATAGAGAAATAAAAACTTCAAAATTTCTAGTTCTTAATATAAAAAAATCAACAACAGCGCAATATCAGTTTACGCGGCACTCCAATACCAACCATACCACAAAGATGTCAAACAACATGAGTACCAACGTAACGAGCCAAATAGTGCTTAATCAAGCTAGCTTAGCTTATTATCGATATCGATCAAAGATACTAGGTAGAAACCGAGGTTTCCACTTAATATTTTTTTATTAATTTTAGTAGGTAAGTATCGAGACCGTATTTATGTCCAATGTTGATAAGGGGATATTTGGTAGAAGATTGGACTTTAATACGGACCCGAAATAAGATAAAAACGGTTTCTGTTAATTAAAATAAAACTTTATTACTGAAATGAAATTTGTTTTTAGATTCTTCAGCCAAAAGCTGTTGTCCTGCTGTATACGAGTCTGGAAATAATTGAAATATAAAAATAGAATGAAACTCCAAAAATTATTTTAGTTTTCTTGCATACTCAGCGCACGAAATTAATTAAATGACTTATCAATATTACAGAGATTATGTTTCAAAATCCTGCAAAATTCACCTATTCCGATCCTTGGTCATTTATGTAGGTACACCATTCAAATATGTAAAACTTTGTGCCTCTACTATTTCACGCAACATTTTATTTCTTATTTTTTTCTATGATAAACATTAACGTAATTATCGATATGTGGATATTACAGTTGCAGTACATCACTAGCACACAACTTAAATGAGATACATTTGTTAATTTTATTTGTTCTTAGTCTGCTCTACTTACATATGGCTGCAAAGTATCATATTTAAGTGCTTACATGGGCTTCATCTAAGGGAAATCTCGCCATAAACATCCTTTTTTCAAGATTCGAATGACTTGCTCGATTTTCACCAATTTCACAGGTCACCGTCTTTTTGGCATTTTGAATTAAAAGTACAACTCTGATCACCTGTCATTAGTTTTCGTGAGAAAGTTTACTCTAAACAATTTAAATTTACAATGAAATAAGCATTTACATTCAAAATACGGGGTGCGAAATTAAGTTTTGACAAACAACATGGCACTTCTTGTATTGCTAGAAAGAGAAACCGCATTGAGGGAGAGTGATAGCAATGTCCGCCATTATTTGCCGCGTAAAGTCCATAGAAAAAATTTTTGTTCCTAGTTTCGCCAGACTGGACGGGACTGCCATACTAGCCAAAAATATCAGTTTACGCGGCACTCTTCTTCTTCTTCTTCTTTCCTTTATGGCGCTTTTATGGATTCGCCAATGACATGTGAAAGATGTTTTATCAGTTTAAAGCTTAGTTGAATATTTAAGAGAAGAAAATTTACTTTGCGAAAAGAGAGGAGATTGTGATATTTTAGGCACGAAATAGAAATAAATTTTGATAATACTACTCTGTTGAATTACCTAAAACAAAAGACAAACAATTATGTTAAAACAAATATAATTAGTGTGTTAATATTGACAGACACTTATAGCTTAATGTTATTAGCGTTAATAAAATCACACAGAATATAAACAAAAGAGGTGTTTGTATAGGTTAATAGGGAGTTGAAGTCTATAGGACGCGGGATATAAGGGGGGAGGAGGTCATAGAGGGAATTGGATAACTTAGGACAGTCGAAGAAAATATGATTTGTATTTCCCTCGTCTAAACCGCATTCGCATAGTGAATTATCCCTAATCCTGATCTTGGCGAGATGGACGTATGTACATGCATGACCTAACCTTAAGCGACAGACAATTGAGGTTGAGCGCTTGCTAGCTTTATTAAATTTAGAAAACCAGGGTTTACTTGGGATAATACTTTGTATGGAGGCATAATGTTTACCCTTTGAAATTTGTGAAACTTCCCACAAGCCCTTCCACTTATTAACTAGCAATTTCCTAGCGAGTGATACTAAATCATGAGAATAAGTCATGGCTAATGGAATACCATTAGATATTGCATCCTTAGCACATGTGTCAGCTGTTTCATTTCCATGAATCCCACTATGGCCAGGTATCCATGCCAAAGTGACATGGATTCCTTTCGTAAAACATCTAAAAAGAACATTTTTAATTTTTAAAATTAAGGGGATTTTAAATTTACTATGAAATTGGTTAGATAGAATAGCCTGTAAACAACTTTTGGAATCAGTGAGAATAATAGTCTTGTGAAGGTTATGTGACTCTATATATGTTAATGCTTCATAAATAGCTGTTGCCTCACCAGTGAAAATGGAACATAAAGGGGGACAACTATATTTTAAAATGATTTTAAACTTGGGTATCCAGACTGATGCACCTATACAGAGATCATCTGAAATTTTGGAAGCATCAGTATAGACTACAAGCCAATCTAGCCATGATTGATCTAATAACCTTTTCAATTTTAAATTTGCCATAGGATCATTTTTTTCAATGTTGAGGTCCAAGTGGACATCAGGTTGATGAATAACAGCTTCATAAGGAGTATCAAATAAGGGGTTGACTTTGCAAGAAAAAATATCACCAGGAATTTGAAGAACTGAAACAAAACTCTTAAACAAACATGGCAAATCTTTGTGGACCCAGTAATCACTTGTAGACACAAATTCCGATAGGATGTGCAATTTGGGGATAAGTGGATGGCATGAAAGCTGATATAGTTTAAAGAGGAATCTATCAGAAAGGTACTGTCTCCTTAAGTAGAGTGGTGGTTCAACACGCTCCACTTGAAGGGCATTAATTGGAGAAGTTTTCATTGCTCCTGTGATGATACGGAGGCATTTGTACTGAATCTTATCTAAAATTTTGAGGGATGATTTACTGCATGGCTCCATGAGGAAAGAACCGTAATCTATATAGCTACGGATAAGAGCATTATATAATAATCTCTGGGAATATGGATGGGAACCCCACCATACACCAGAAAGGGATCGAATGATATTAATATTTTTCTCACATTTTTTAGAGATGTAATCTATATGATGAGTAAAGGATAACTTTCTATCCAAAACTATGCCTAAAAATTTCACCTTGTCTCTATTGGGGATAGGGTGGCCATCATAAGTGATTAAGATATCAGGTACTCTCTTATGGCGGCAAAAGATTACTATACTGCTCTTTAAGGCAGACAAACATAGACCATGGTCAGTTAGCCACTCTTGAAGATATAGCATGGAAGAATTTAGAAGGGTACAGGCTTTAGAAAGGTTATCTATTGGTAGGTACATGGCTAGGTCATCTGCATATTGGAGGACATTACAAAATGAATTAACAGATAGTTCTAAATCATAGGTGTAAATAGTATAGAGGAGAGGGCTGAGGACTGATCCTTGGGGAAGACCTTTCCAAATATGTCTAGGCGACAACATAGAATTTTTAATATTTATATGGATTAATCTAGAAGAGAGAAAATTACAAACAAAATTTACAATCCTCACAGGAATACTCAGCTTTAGCATTTTCTGCCTGAGCACTGGAAGAAGTACATTATCATACGCAGATGAAATATCAAGGAATATACCTACAAGATAGTTATGTTTAGAGAGAGCTATTCTGATGTCTGTAATTAATGTACTGAGGCTGTCCATAGTACTAAGGCCTTTTCTGAATCCAAATTGACTTCTTGGTAAAACATCTTTGCTTTCTAGAAACCATTCTAAGCGATTTTTAATCAGGTGTTCCAAGATCTTTGCCATGGTACATGACAGAGCAATAGGTCTATATGCTGATGGATCATGACTAGGTTTTCCTGGTTTAAGAATGGGTAAAATGATTTGCTCTTTCCATTCTTTAGGTGGGACACTTGAAATAAATATGTTATTTAAAATATTAAGGAAAAGGGTTTTAGTATTTTCACTACTGTTAACAATAAAGGAGTAAGGGATACCATCAATCCCTGGAGAAGAGTCTTTAAGGCCCTGGAGTACAGTAGCTAATTCCTGGTAAGAAAAGGGAAGGTCAAATTTATCATGGAATTGAATGGAAGAGGAATGATATGTGATACACTCTTCATATGAAGGAGCTGATAGAGGATCAAGTTTATGGGAAAATTCTTCAGCCCAAAGTGAATGGTCATTAGAAGTTATATTATGATCATCTGACATAGCACATTTGAATTTTCTTATACTTTTCCATACAAGAGAGAGAGGTGTGCAAGGTGATAGTGAAGAACAAAATCTATACCATCCTGACCGCTTCTTTTCAGATAATAGTTTTACAGTTTGAGCAGCTGTTTTCTTATATGAAATATAGTTTTTCCCTTGTCATTGAGGATGAATATTGTTGTTCAGCTTCCTTTCTTTTTTTACATGCTGCAGAACAGTCCTGGTCCCACCAAGGGGGAGATGGCAGATTTTTTGTTCTAGGTTTTTTAATAGGAATAGTCAGGTCAGCAGAA